CCCCCCCCCCCCCCCCCTCCCCTAACTCTTAGTCTTTAACTGAGAGAGATGATACCCTTCTTCTGAGGCACTAAAAGAGGTGTCTCTTGGTAACATACATTACTATTATTGTAACGGGAGTTCAGTCGTGCCCATAATGACATTGGTAGAACAGCTGCTTCAGATGAAGTCTGAAGTGCTGTCAAGTCACACTTAAAAGTCATGGCTGCATAACAAAGTCTGCGATCTGGCCTTATGAGGCATTCCCATCAAAGACGTGTACAAGAGGTATAATTACTGGATAAATATTATTGAAAACTGCACCTTCATAAATTGTGTCAGTGTGATGCTCAGAGCTAGGCTATCAGATGTGAGGTTGTCACACCACAGATGCCACCCTAGGCTGACAACTTGCAGGGGAAGCTTTTCAGTAACACCTCTTCATTGCAGGATGCAGGTGCTTTGAAACCTGTTGGGAAAGAAGTCTTCCATAAGTCCTTGCAAGCCAAAGCCAAACACATTCTATCTGGAAACATGAATGCTTAACTCTGAAGTTGGGAAGCCACTGGAACAGTCACCCTGAGGGCACAGTGATTCTGCATCACTTTAAATCCGTCCTAGAGGCCTTTTCTAGACATATGCCCTAGTTCAATGAAAAATTTTGTGCTTGCAGCAGGAGCAACTAGACAAATATCTACAGACTACACTATATCAACTCTGTAGTCATTGATGGCTCCACACTCCCTTCAGAAATTGAGGAATCTGTAAAATATTCACTCACCTGAAATGAGGTATTGACCCAGAGTTTGCCTGGTGTTTTTTTCAGCTCCTGCTATCTTACCAGCCTTCTTGAACCTTCATGTCTTTAATATAGAGCTTTGACACAAAAATATTTTCTCTTCCTCATCTCCTTTATTCACTTATTTTTTGGTTTTATTTATCAGCCTGTAATTCTGTAATTCCGTCAATTCTGAAGCAGACTTTGTATGAAAGAAACAGCTGGGTCTTGTGACTGCAGAAGAGATTGTTCTTTTATGCAGGAAAGCTCCCCAACTGTTCTTTCACCTCCTTGATGTGAGAGTGGCAGCGACTGCCGAGACAGGAGAGTCTAGTGTCTATCTTTACTACAGGTTTGTGTTTTTCTTTTGCTGGGTGGAAGTTAGTCTTATCAAAATGGATAGCAATGCGATATGCATCCTGGCATTAGTAATTGCTGGATTTTGAATATTAACAACAGGGGTCTTGATTTTTCAGACAGTGGACCAGCTCACAGCAGCATCAAGCAGACATAGAATCATAGAATCATAGAATCGTCTAGGTTGGAAGGGACCTTAAAGATCATCTAGTCCAACCATCAACCTAACTCTGACAAAAAAATAAATAAGAAATAAGCAATAAACAAACAAACAAACAATCAAACAAAAAACCTAAACCATATTCTTGAGGACATGACTAGTTTAATTCCAAAACTTTCACAGCATGAGGCGCAGGTTTGAGTTTTTTTCCTGACTTGTACCTAAATGTATAAAAAAATATTAAAACCAATATGTGATAACACTAAGGAACAACGTGAGTTTACTCAAATGACTAAAGGTGTGTTTCCACAGAAATTAAAGCTGATTAAAGCTTGAGTTGCTGTGGTCTCACCTCGTGCTCTGCGCTGTCTTACTGCATGATGGGCTAGATCAGGAGACTGACCTGGCTGAAGGCAAACCCTTGTTTTAGTAAGGCTGAGAATCATTTACTTCATTTCCCTGAACCAGTGCACCACACGGTTGCACAATTACCAGTTTAGGTGCAGGAGGTCAGTGCAGAAAGAAGCACATGGCCTGGCACAGAGCCTCTGTGCACTGCCTGACCTCCCTTGGAGGAAAGGTCTGTTTAACCCTGTCTCTGTCGGCCTCCTCTTCTCCTCCCAAGCAGAGGTGCTGATCACAAGGTGAGCCTGTCCACAGCATGGATAGGGCTGTGCTGCTGCTCCTCCTGGCCTCCCGGGCAGGCAGCAGTCCTCCCTTTGCTCTGTAATGCAGCTAAAGTAAAGCAACACCTTTCCAGCCTGCACTTTAATTTTTGATTAAAATGGGCACTGTCACTAGAAAATCAGCATAAGAGAAAATCATAATTTGGGGCTGAATTGAATTGTTTAACACAGAAAATAAAGATGGGCTGCACTGCAGTACACAGGATTTGGTTAGTGTTCTCATGCAGAATGAATTTATGGATAAATATATGGATATATAAATATATAAATATGGATAAATATAAATAGATGGATAAATATAAATATAAGCAGAAGTTTGTTTTACCTTATGTTTGTGACAGTAAAATTTAACTTTTTCTTAGAGAGGTCACAATCTCAGAAAGGAGGAAGTACAAGAACAAGTTAGAAGCTCTGAAAAAAGAGCTTAAAAGGTCACTGAACTGCACCACAGATTTGTGTAATTGTTTTTCATGTTACATAAAGGAGGAGGAACATGAAATTATACTTGTGTGCCTGGCAGAGCTAGATGCTAGTGCTGGATGAACGAGCACTTTTTCAGAAACCTCTCAGATGCCTACCTGCTTGGTCGGACAATAATGAGTGAAAAAAAGACAACCTGCCTCTGGCCCAGCTTCCAGTGTTGGGAGCAGCCTGGAGGAGCTCATAAAACTTGCAGTCATGATGCAGCACAAGACAACATTTCTCACTCAGTGAGCAAATGGGTGGAAAGAGGGGAGTCAGCTGTGCTCAACCTCCTGCTTCATTCATTGGAATGGGTGGAAAGAGGGGAGTCAGCTGTGCTCAACCTCCTGCTTCATTCATTGGAATGGATAATGGCTTGAATACCTGAACAGTGGCCTCAGTATAAAGGCTACTATCGAAAAGTGTTTCAAAAGCCAAAATGCAAGGATGAAAGCAAGCGGCTTTGTCCTTGGCTGTGTTGAGAAAAGGGAGTTGTACCATAAAGCATACAAAAAAGAACAAGGAGGATTGTGCTAAAAACTGCCACTGCCAGAGCAGGTTACTACACTGGTATTGATTACTGCAATCATGGCCAATAGACATCAGCTGTGAACAGGAGCAGTCCCCTGTACCTACACTGCAGAGTCTATTTAGAGGGGTAGCTTCTTCCTGCGTCTCTGAAAATGTAGACGAGAAGACCCCACCAGTGCTACTGATCTTCAGGGCAAAGCACAACCTGTTACACAAGTCTTCAGTGTGAAAGCTGAATTCAGGAGACATGCCCAAACTAAATTTTAGAAGGCTAACAGCTTCCTGGAAGGTCCTGAATGTTGGCCCAGCCAGAAGACAGGCCAGGACTGAGGTTCCTGCCTGCGGAAAGGCTGGTAAAATAGTTAATTCCCCTGTCCTCAGCAGGAGACAAAATAACACCAGAAGAAACCAAGTTATCTGGAATAATGGTGGAGGTAACTAATCAGTTCAGTTTTGACTTGTATGATATCAGCCTTTCAAACACCTGTGCCTGCAAGGACTGCAAACCCGAGTGCCTCTCATCTTCAGGACACAGTTATTCCATCTGGAGAAGATCTGCAGTTGGCAGTAGGTGAGAGGTCAAAAAAATCAGTAAGTTGTACACTTATGGTTTAGAAATATGAACTGACAGCAGATTTCTGAAAAGCCTACCACTACAAACTCTAAGGGGCTTCATCCAATGCTACAGATTGCTAGAGAGAGCAAATTGTCAGCACCTCAAGTGTTTCAGAGCTATGAAGAAAGTGTTAAAAGCTAAGTGGTATGCTTCCTCAAGGGCTGAGGATGTTCATATCACAGAGGGAAGCCATGCTGATCCTGGGTATGGCACTTCAGAGTCAGGAGGCAGCTGAACTTAATGTATGAAAAAACAACCCCTTTCTTAGCAAGACAAAAAAAGGATTTTCCTGAGGCAAAGATAGGATCTCCCCAGGGGAGCCACGTCATATCATCTGGAAAGAGACATTTGGGCAGAGAACTGGAGTCCGGGGTCAGCGGGATGGGAAACTTCCATAATAAATTTTCTGAGCAGAGTTTGCTTTTGGCTGATCCTGTTACAAATCCCTCTTCCCCCCACTGTACTAGTGTCTCTCTCTGCCTCTTTCCCATATTGGAAGCAGTAGTTTGATGATTTGTGCCTCTCTCTTTGCTTCTGTGGGGAAATACTGCTTTGGGGCAACGTGATTTTTACTTTTTCATCTGGCTGCATGTCTGTCTGACAGATGTTTTGGGCTGCATTCAGCAGGGAAAGAATAAGGAAACTCTTTAAGAGGCAATGGTATATTGGGCTCTATATTCCCCATTTCCACCAGCTGGCTAGCTCTGTGCTTGCTGGAGAGGAGAGCTGTCCCCAGAGAGGCGAGAGGGCTCGTGCATCACTGTGGAGTGCCATCACACAGGTGTGAAGGTGCTGCTTGGCTAGGCAAGCAGTCCCCTGCTCTGCTTTGCTCTCTGCTGAAAAAGTGCCTGTGGGATCCTTCCTGCACAGCTGGGTTTGATTTGCTGTGATTTGTATGTAGGGGGTTAACAGTGAGATTTTTCTTTTTTGGTAATAAAATCACTAGGTTGTATGCTATTAGTTGAAAACTGACTCCATCAGTGTTTCAGTAGGTGAAATGTTTTAATAAGCATCCAGCAACCTCATGAGCTATTTATTAAAACCAATAAT